TGTATATCTCAATTATCATTGTGGTTTTTGGGAAGAAAACGGCGGCGTTTGAGAGTAGTGTAATACAATTTTGTCCAATGAACCGGCAACAACAATCTTCCCGCCGCTTGGCGAGTACTCCCAGTCGAGGCTTTTCGATGCCGTTGATCGGTCCTGCTGTTGGGTTAAATAAAGGTGAATCAACGGTCATAAAGCGATCAGGTGTTAATTTAATTTTACAGCGATGAGAATAATAATTGGTTAAGACGAGACAAGGCGACCATCTCTGTCATTTCCAAATCTCGAGATCGTTTTACGCTTCTGAGCTATGCTCTTGTTCCTACGATATTCAATTAAAATTTTTAAATAGACAATAATTAATTAAATTACATTAGATAAACAAATGCAAACATCAGAAAAAAGGTTCCCTCTATCTAATTTCTTGCCTTCAGTCCCATTTTCGTAAATAGAATTATTACATTTCACTATGCAATTTCAATTAACTCTTCTCGAGGGAAACAAATATTCAAAGATGCCAAGAAATAGCAGTCAAGAATTGGCAAGAAAGTCCAACCCCAGTTCTGGGTTACATTAATTATCCTGACCTTAAGCAGTCAGAAAAACAGTGCAAATTTCAATTGTTTTCTTTTTGGTACTCTCATAGGAACTAGGAGGGTGCAAATGTAATGGCCATTTTGTTCTTCTGTTTCTTCTCGTTTTGGGTGGATGTTACTTTAGCCTCTGATGGTCTTGTGCTCTCTCCCAAAGGAGTTAACTATGAAGGTGACGCTTCCTAACGCCTAAAGTAGTAATAAACTTTCACGCATCTGCATTTTAATTTTATGTTTGTTAAATTGTTGGTTTTTTTCCTTTTCTTTTTCTGGGTTTTTCCAAAACAAGTGGCCGCATTGATGGCGGTGAAAAGAGAAATGATAGATGAGCCCAAAGTGATGGAAGGTTGGGATATAAATTCCGTTGACCCTTGCACTTGGAAAATGGTTGGCTGCTCTTCTGAAGGCTTTGTCGTTTCCCTGTGAGTGAGAAATTATTTTGTTTTGTTATCAGGAAACGAAATAAAAAAAAAGGTACAGATATTGTTATTGTTGTTGTTGGTAGTGAAATGGCAAGCATGGGATTATCAGGGACGCTGCCAGCAAGTATTGGGAATTTGAGTCATCTAAGGATAATGTAAGTTGCTCTTCTATTTATTTGCAATCGTTGCTTCCTTAATTCGTTTGGCTTCCTGACTCTAAATTCATTGCCAGTTTGTGGGAATTGTTCTTCAATTTAATTCAGTCTTTTGCCTCCACTGCTTATTTTTCTGCTGTGTACTTGCAGGCTAATGCAGAACAATCAGTTAACTGGTGCCATCCCAGCAGAGATAGGAAAGCTTTCAGAGCTTCAGACTTTGGATCTCTCAGGTAACCAGTTTGCTGGAGATATTCCAAGCTCTTTGGGTTTTCTGGCTCATCTAAGTTACTTGTGAGTTTGGTTTCACCTTCTACATTTGGCATTAATACTCCTTTTGGTTTTAGTAATGGGTTTTCTTCTAAACAGTTGTTTCTAAACCTTTTAGCACTGCCAACTTTTCAGGCGGCTCAGCAGAAACAAGTTATCAGGACAGATACCTAAACTTGTTGCCAATCTTACTGGACTTCTATTTCTGTATGTTCTATAAAATGTTAGTTTCTTTTTTCCCGTATGGGTCATAGAAGATGCTTTAATTTTTTCATTACCAATGTTATGCAGGGATTTATCATTTAACAATCTCAGCGGTCCCACTCCAGAAATACTAGCAAAACGATACAGGTTAGTGGAACTGCATTTAATCTTATTAATTATTGTTCAATTTATTATGCACCTAAAATTGGGAAAGTGAAACTTGTGTATAGCACCTTCTGCCATCTGAATTGTCATTCTATTGTTTAAAAATTTGCTATGCATTCCAATACATTTTCTGATAATCATCCCATGGACTCTTGACATGGAGATTTAGTCTAAGAGTAGTTATCATGTTATCAAGCAAAGCAACTAAATAGCTGCTTTTGGTTCCATTTGATTCTGGAACCAAATGGTTGCAGATTTCTTTTCTAATGCTTGTTTGCTCAGTTGATGTTAGGAAAACTTTATTCATGAAAACGAAAATCATTGACCAACTAGCAATGGTTTTATTGGTATCTAAAAACTCTTGAGTGCATTAATGTCTAGCTGCAGTAACCCATCATTTAATACTATTGTTTTCTGAAAACATATAAATTCCTCTTGGTTTTTCTATCTTCATCAGTTTCAAGGTGTACATATTTTCTTGTTGCAGTATCACAGGGAATAGGTTTCTTTGTTCTTCCTCGCCTGCACAGATATGCATGGATCCAAAGCCAGGAAATGGTAATGCGACTAACCTATTGAACTTTTTTGTAAAATTTCATTTTTACACCAACTAAGAATACTTAATCAACAATTGCAGAGACAGTTTCATTTCAGAAAGCCAGCAATCACCATCATTGGGTGCTTTCTATCGCTATAGGAGTCAGTTGCACTTTTGTGATTTCTGTAATGCTGCTTGTTTGTTGGGTGCATTGGTACAGATCTCGTCTAACATCACATGGTACTCCCTGAACTTTATATTCCTTCTCCATTCCTGGTAATGTGAAGCGTATGATTGAAGATAAATAACTATGATACATTCTCGTTATTCCAATTTACAGTACAGCAAGATTATGAATTTCATATTGGTCATTTGAAGAGGTTCTCGTTTCGTGAGCTGCAACTTGCTACAGGCAACTTTAGTGCTAAAAATATCTTAGGTCAAGGTGGATTTGGGGTGGTTTACAAGGGATGTCTTCCAAACAAGAAATTGGTGGCAGTTAAGAGGCTGAAAGATCCAAATTACACTGGAGAAGTTCAGTTTCAAACTGAAGTTGAAATGATTGGCTTGGCATTGCACCGAAACCTCTTACATTTATATGGCTTCTGTATGACACCTGATGAGAGGTTGCTAGTGTATCCATATATGCCAAATGGCAGCGTTGCTGACCGCTTGAGAGGTTCGTCCCATTTGTTGATGAATGTGCTTCTCTCTCTCCTCCTCTTTCCATGTGCTTATTTTAAGGTGTGAAGTTGGATTCATGTTCTTTATTACTACTTTAAGTGAAATAAGGTTACTTATTGTGATATACATCAATGAAATGTTGAAACAGCCTGAAGTTCCAATTGATTAGTGTAATTGGTTCAAGACGAAGACTTCTCAAAGTATAGAAGTGTACTGAATCTTTTTCTTCTACTTTCAGTTTAAGTACTTCAAATTTTTGTTTCAATTGTCTTGACTAGTGATAATCTCATGTTTTTTCCCTTTGAATCTTAATGTTAAATATTGAATAGTACGAACAACTTGTCAAATGAAAAATTATCATCCATGCTTGGATTTTAGCTTTATTGGACTTCAGGATTTGATTTTCCTTCTATTTCTCTACCAGTGTTTCAATAAAGTCAACACTCATATATAGTAGAACTTTCTTAATGGAGACTTTTTCTTCTTATCCTTGGGGTCTCATCCTCATTGGCTTGCTTCTGTATAACAGAGACTGGCCGAGAAAAACCATCATTGGATTGGAACAGACGGATTCACATTGCCCTTGGGACTGCTCGTGGACTTCTATACTTGCACGAACAGTGTAATCCAAAAATAATTCACAGAGATGTAAAAGCAGCGAACATTTTACTTGACGAAAGTTTTGAAGCTGTAGTTGGAGATTTTGGTCTCGCTAAGCTATTAGATCAAAGAGATTCACATGTCACTACTGCAGTTCGGGGTACTGTAGGCCACATTGCGCCCGAGTATCTTTCAACAGGACAATCCTCCGAAAAAACAGATGTCTTTGGATTTGGCATACTACTTTTAGAACTCATAACAGGGCAAAAAGCATTAGATGCTGGAAATGGTCAGATTCAGAAAGGAATGATTCTTGACTGGGTAAGTAATTCTTCTACATTGCTGTGGTTTCCGACTTGCATTTTACAAGTTTCTTTCTCTTAAATTGTTATTTGACTATGTGGTTGATAGTAGTACATAAATTAGTAGCTAGTGGTTGATTTGTGCAGGTTAGGACTTTGCATGAGGAGAAGAGGCTGGAAGTTCTAGCAGATAGGGATTTGAAGGGTTGTTTTGATGCAGTAGAGCTGGAGAAGGCAGTGGAGTTGGCTATGCAGTGTACTCGATCACATCCTAATCTCCGTCCAAAAATGTCCGAAATCTTGAAAGTCCTGGAAGGTCTTGCCGGACAGTCAGGAGCAGAGGAATCACAAGGTGGATATGAGGCAAGGGTTTGCAGTTTCTCAAGGCATCACAGCGATGTCCATGAAGAATCTTCAATTATCATTGAAGCGATGGAGCTTTCTGGACCTCGATGAACAAGTACAAATTTTCCTTCCTGAATTCAACTGTAAATGATTTTTTTTTTTTTCTAAATTTATTTGTTTGTATTTTAGACAGATTTATATTGCATACACAGTTTTGCTATTGCTATATCATATAGATACTTTTCAAGTCTAAAGTGAGGATATATCACGTTGATGAAGCTATCTTTTATCACTTGTCTGTGGATAACTAGATCTGTTAGCCAAAATAATACTTCCCTCAGTTGATGCAGGTTGGTTTTCAACTAGGAAGTCTTATCATGCAATAGTTTGTCATCATTATTGTTAATTATTTTTATTATGCGATTATTGTCATTATTATTCTTAATTATTTTATTGCTGCCAATGATCTGTGGATGATGCATGCTGATTCCTCAAATGAGATCTGAAGTGACAATACAACTGTTAAATGTACTAAAGAAAACATTAGTTTTGGAATTTTGCATATTAATCTGATAATGCTTAATTGAATTCAAAAGAGTACTTAGGGATGCTATTATCTGATCAACCTGATTTTTTATGGATTGAGCTTGGAAACATGATCTGGTATTTGATTGTTAGTACCAATTTATATATTTTTATATTGGAGTATAAAAGAAGGGTGTCGTCTTTCTTTTTGAATAGAACTCATTAAATTAGTGAAAATTCCTGGTATATAGAAGATTTAAACCCTATTCTTAAGATACTCGTACAGAATAAAAAGATCAGTGAGATTATATCCGAACTATTATTTTGATGCTGATCTGAAAATCACTTCTTTTCCTTTTTGTTATCATTGACAGAAACAAATGAGGGGACAATCTCTTTTTCACGGTGGCCTTTAGAATTATTCTGTGGGTCTGGTAAGGCTAACATAACATAAATTTTTCTTCTTAGAAATTTCGTTTAGCATTAATTTATAAATAACATTAACATCAATATAGCCTTGTTGGTCTGGATGACTGGTTGTTATCCATCTCTATAAGGCCCATAGTTTTTGTTCATAGTTGCCAACTTGTTTCGTGTGCAACTTGCCTGACACTTACTTGGTTAACTACATGCCTAATTTTTCTTCTCCAGCACGTTGAAGAAAAAAAAAATCAAAGCATATGGTTAGACTTTGTAAATTGATTTAAGTATAAATGAAATGAATCTAAAATTAAATAAAATTTATTAGTTAAATTAAACTTATATTTAAAATTGTTAATCATTTTAATTAGTCAAAGTTATTAAGTATTAAATTTCCTGTGAACCAAATAAAATAATAAAATATTAATCAGATACAGTTTGATTAGTCTTCTCACTCATGTGAAAAAATGAGAGGTTTTGAGTTCGAATCCTCTCGATCACACGTATTTAACGAGTGAAAGGGAAGGCTACCCGCTATTCCTGTTACATTAGATTTTATAGAAAATTAAAAAAAAAAGTAATAAAATAAAATAGTAAAATCCTATTTGAAGATTGGAGTGCATTTTTAATTTCCAAAAGTATAATATGTCCTTTATGTGGGAAATGGAAGATACTGCCTTCCTATTATATTATTTTGGGCATATACAACTTGGATTCCTGTTGTGAGTTGAGATTTTTGTCATAAATATCCACTAGGAATTCCAAGTCAAAATGCAACTAAAAATAGGATTATCGAAGGAAAATTATGATTATGTTTATGAAGATCAGGACCCCTAGCCCCACAATTTTTGTCCACAGTTAGTCCTTGAAAATCATCTTATTAGTATACATGATCATTTCTACCAATTTAAAATTCCAATTAACATATTTTTCGAGAGATAACTCGGTGGTAAATGCATATATAGTCTGATAGATTCAAATTCCCCTTCTCTTAATACTTAAAAAAGAAAATAAAAACTGTTAAATTTAACAGAATATTTAAGAACATGTTGCAAATAGGGGAGAAAATAGAAATTGGAGTGAGATATAATTTTTTAAACCCTAAAGAAACCAAAATAAATAAATTTTCAAATTTCAATATCTTTCCTTTTCTTTTGAGGCATATTCTCCTAAGTCGAATGTGATTGAAATGCCTATGCAAACCAAATAACGACAGTTTATCGTCAATTTTCTAAGTAACTTTCAGCGTTTTGATCTTTGTGGATAGTCAAAGTATTAAACATTATTTTTACAGTGTTTGATAACATATCAGTGGAACAATTAATTCATATAATATTTAATTTATCTAAAAAATTTAATTTTGCTGAACAACTCAATATTAAGTAATCCGAGTTTATCCAAGATCGATATTGAAATCTAGCAGTATATTTCTAATTGGACACAAAATGATATCAATATAACCCAAGTTTATCCATATTTTGTTTAAAATTCAAAAGTTTATCCATAACGAAACGAGATCTATTAAAATACTAAATATACAAGAATCGATATTGGAAATCTAGCAGTAAATATTTCTAATTGGCACAAATGATATCAAATATAACCAAGTTTATCCCATATTTGTTTAAAATTCAAAAGTTTATCCATAAGAAACGAGATCTATTAAAATACTAAATATATATATAATATATATATATAATATACATTTTCTTCCTACAAAAAAAGGCAAAGAATTTCTAAGGGCATAATTTTAAAACTAAGCAATAGGAATATTCTCTTTCTGAAAATTATATACATTTTCTTCCTACAAAAAAAGGCAAAGAATTCTTAAGGGCATAATTTAAACTAAGCAATAGGATAATTCTCTTTCTGAAAATTCTCATATTTAAAAACTACCTAAACAAATAAAAAATATAAGGAAATTTTTCCCAAGTATTTATTCGTTTCTTTCTAATTCCGCAAAGGTGAAAAAATAGAAAAAAACAAAGTGAAAAGAACTGGCATATCACAACGTACTGGGCGTTTGAAGCAAAGAATTTCAACAATCACCGAAGAAGAAAGAAACCTAAGACTATACCATAGTTATTAACTATTAAAGAGTCAAAATTCACTGAATGACAAAACAATAAATGACATCAATCTCTTCCACCTCCACCGGTACTATCTGTCTGTTGTTCTGTCCTTCATTATCCATTCACAAAGAGTCTTCTTTTTCTTCTTTTTTTTTTTTTGGGGGTTTTTTAAAAGGAAAAGATTTATTGGGGTATAACCATAATCATTGTATCTAAACGTATTAATCGTCAGCGTTTACTCTTGAACATTCACGCGCAATAAATTTGCATTGATGGAAATTTTTTTGGGACAAGAACAGTTATCCAATAAAAAATGAACCATAAATACAAACAATTTCTTTTCGAGTATCCAATTCTTATCTTGGTCTACGTTAACGTAATCAGTAAATTATTCATTAGTTAATTCATTCCCACTCCACCTCTTGCTTGCTAGTTCCAGATATTTGTATCCACCTAATCCTCTCTATCTCTGTCACATCATCTTCTTCGGTGGCCATGATATCAACTATTATGTGCAGAGACACTATTTGTTGTGGTTTCACTTGGAGATAACACCTCTTCACATATTTAGATCCCTCTGTTTCTATCTCGTTTTTAACGTGTGTAACATTTGAAGTAAACGCTTTGGTGGAGATATAACTGGACGGTTTTTATCCGTGGACTTGAAGTTATCCAAAAGGCGTAGGTAATGATCTGGGTTTTTGTTTTTCTCTTCGAAGCAATCTCCTTTTCCAGTTAATTAGCGTTATTAAGCTTGTTTCGTTGCCGTTTGGTCATTTCTTTTGGATACGTTTGATTTTCAAGTATGAAGTACAGTTGTTTGTTTGGCAGTTTTTGGGCTACTAATTTGTATAGATAATATTGCAGACTACATGTTTGTGTAATCACTGCTAACATTGGATTTCTATTTGGAGGTTTTTGAGAGTTGTAGATTATATTGGCAAGATTAATGGATCTAGAAACGCATGAAAATAGATTAGTTGATGGGGGTCAGAATCAAGTTAAGCAAGGAAGTGGGGATTCAAGCAATTCGGGTAATGGGATTGTGTCAGAGAATCAAGTTGTTTTAAATTCAGGAGAGACAATTGCAAGTGGGAAAAGTCAGGGTGTTGATGCAAAAGCAAATGGACTGGAGTCAATTAAAATAGTAGCAGATCAGGAGGCAAGCGGTGGGAGAGGAATTGACAAGCCATTGGATGAAGCAATTGGTGGAAATTCAAGTATTTTAGTTAATGAGGTCACTCCTGAGAGGACGATGGTGATAAATTCAGGAGAGATCCTGAGCAACAATGCAGAAAACAAGGATTTGAGCATAAAAGTTGATGAATTTGGACTGAGTTGTACAGTAATAGCTCAGGAGGCATGTATTAGGCGAGAAAATGGCGAGACGTTGAGTGAAGTTCGGCAACAAAATCATCAGGATGTGACTGTGCTTGAGACAGTAATATTGGTAAATTCAGAAGAGAATATTCCTATTAGTGGAGGAAATGGGCAATTGGAAATCAAGGGCTCTGATTTGGGGCAAAGTAAGATAACTGCAGATAAGTCAAAGACAAAAGTGTCTAAAGGTGAGAAGCAATCATGTGTGATTGATATGAAATGTGCAGGTGGTGGTGGAGGCAGTGTTTTGGATTGGGATAGAGAAACGGTTTGCAGGATTTGTCACTTGAATTCTGAGGGATTGTTGGTAACCGATGCCCCTGACTCTCGGACAGATCTAATTCAGCTAGGTTGTGGGTGTAAAGATGAGCTCGGCATTGTACATGCTTATTGTGCTGAGGCCTGGTTTAAGCTAAAAGGAAACAGGTAAACTTTTCTATTGTTAAAAGCAGAGTCTTAATATGAGGTTTGCTTTCTGTTTGTGTGCGCTAATACGTAAGATTGGATTGGATTGGATTGGATTGGTTGAGACTTCAAATCATTAGTGGCTTATTATATAACTTGCGATGCCAATGAAATAAGCTATGATGTTTTGCCATTTATCTGAATTTAACGTCATTACCTCAAGCATGGCCTTGAGTTCAGTTCTTAAGTTTGGTGAACTCCTGGGGGAACAATATAGTTGGACTTTGTGATGTAAATGAAACTAGGTGAGAGAAATTCCTTCAGATGATTGTAAGAAAAAGGTTTTAACCTATCCTCTTCTTCAATTAACCATGGCATTTTCCATCTAAGAAGTATAATAAAAGTACAAATGATCAATATTTTATTACGCTTCATGATTTAAATGTATATGTTTGAGACACTATCACCAAAGTATCTAGTGAAGTTGGTGAACTATCTGACTTCTGGGTTTCTTGAATTTTAGCTTGTGAACGGAACTGCAGTCATCATAATGGCTTTAGCTAGGTTACGAAAATGGATGCATTGCTTGCAATAGATGCTTTTGGGACATTAGATGCATTGTTGTTTTTCATATTTATTATGAATTTTCCTTAGAAAGTGCCAGAGTTTGTACAATCCAAGTACACAGGGTATCTATCTTTCATTAGTGAATTTCAAGGGAAATGTATGCCATTACTGTTGTGGGAATTCTTGGAAACGTCTCTTGTGCACTTACAATATTTAGGCAATTAGACTAATTAGGTATTCAATTTCTTTTATTCAAGTTGTGAAGCAAGTTGTAATATGTAATGTGGAACATGAATTTGTCATCCTATTGGAAGGCTGTTTCGGTTATTCTGTTTGTGAGTGTGAGTGTAAAGCATACAAATTCTGACCATGGTGGTGTTGGATTTGGGTCAGTTTGAAGTGCACAAATTTTTCCATGACTCCACTACTAAATGTTATGAACTCACATTCTAGTTCAGATGAAACCCATGTCCAATCTGAGTGTCCATAAATGTATATTAGTAAATACTTATCATCTTTGAATTGAGCTTATGTTGGTTGCATCATTAACTTTATTTTCATGTGCTCATAAGAACACTTTATGATTGCATTAAAGTATTTCTCTGTTCTGCACATCAGGCTCTTATTTATCACTTTGAACGACAAATTTATAGTTTTCTCAGTTCATTCATTCTTTCTGTTATTCTGTGAATTATTTTATTTATAATAAAAACCTTCAGATGCTTTATATGAAAATGGGCCATGGATTATCAATATGAACCAGAATTCTTACTTCTCTTAATGCAGAATTTGTGAAATTTGTGGGGAAGCAGCAAAGAATATTACAGGTGTTGGGGATAACAGGTTTGTGGAAGAGTGGAATCAAAGGAGATTTATCGGTACCAATAGTAGCTCATCAGACAGGGGTGGAAGTTGTTGGCGCGGACAACCCTTTTGTAACTTTCTGATGGCATGCCTGGTTATAGCTTTTGTACTCCCATGGTTTTTCCGAGTAAACATGTTTTAACTCGGAGCAAATGGAGCTTAAAGGTTATTCTTCTTGCGTGCACATCTAGAACTTGCACTGCATGGGTATAGCATTGTTGATCAATGATGGATTTAGCCTGATGAATTGGGTCTTGATTCATATATTTTAAGGTGTGTTTTTACTGCTTTGACTCGGGTTGTATAGTTGCTCAATAGTTACCATACAAAGCTGGAGGAGACTTCCCTTTTTCTTTCAATTTTTTATTTAATTCACCTTTTCTATCTAAGTGACTGGAAATTGTTTTAAAGGCATACATGTCATCACAAATTGAATGATACATATATAAATACAATTTATATACAATATTTGTTTCCAATAAAAAATTATAATTTTTTGTGTTGCTTTTATTTTTTTTCTTTTTTTTTTTTTTTTTAAATTCAAATCACCGATAGAAATTACATTAGTTTGGCCAGAGCGATGAAGTATAGCGCCTGCATTTGCAATTTCTATCTCGCAATATATGAATTAACTCTATACTGATTAATTTGCCAATGAATGTGCTGATTAATCCTATATTTTTATTTTCATTAGAGGCTAAGTTGTGCAATTTCATTCCATCATGATCACTGTTTTTCAAGTTGTACAATTTTTTTAAATAAAAATAATTAAAAGACTTGGTTAACTTACCTAAAAAAAATTAAGACTCAATTAACTTAACCAAGCTTCCATTCAACCCAAAAATGGACCTTTCTGGTTAATAGAGAAAGAACAAAGGTGACAAAATAATAAATACATATATATATTAGAAAATTTTGAAAGAGTAAAATTAAAAAAATATGGCCAAATTACTCATTTTAGAATTAGAATTTTTTTTTTCAAACCTAGTTACATATGTGTATCTCATTAAATAATTAAAAATTCAAAAACTTATAAAAAAATAATGCACTTAAAATTTTATTGTTTTTAAATTAATATTTTTTTATCATTTTATTATAATACCCCTCATTTTAGAATTAGAATTTTTTTTTTTCAAACCTAGTTACATATGTTGTATCTCATTAAAATAATTAAAATTCAAAACATTTTTATAAAAAAATAATGCACTTAAAATTTTATTGTTTTTTAATTTAATATTTTTTTATCATTTTATTATAATTATTAAAAACAATATATTTATTAAATATTTTTAGAAATAATTAGTATCTTTCTTTCGTGGTAACACATTGAAAAAGAAAAATATTCACCTTATATATATATATATATATAATATATATATTATATATATTAAGGTAATAATAAATATATAAAGTAATAATAAGAAAATGCATAAAACTATATGTATAAAACAATTTGGAGTCTATTTCATGTTGTTGGGTGGAATATACAGCAATTAGCGAATTTGTTTTTGTGTTAATGTGCTGGACATTATAAATACACGGCATAAAAATATAAAATGTAAATACAGAATGCCTCCGCCACAGCCATATCTGAAATTACCCAAATGAATGACAATGGAAGGATAGAATTGTCATTTGACATCGCTTAGGTTCGACTGTATATTTTCTTCACCATTGTAAAACAGATTAATTCCGGATTAGCTATATTGCTTATTTTTCTTCTTATAAGAAAAATAATAAAAATAATAAATTGCAACTCTCATTATATCTTAACAAATTAATTTTTGCCTTATTTCCAAAGGTTATGGGTATTAATATTATTTATCTATTTATCATGCAATACAATGTCATTCTCATATTTGACGCGCTTTGCAGTTTCTCTGTCTATATTTTAATTTACTCCAATATTTCAAAATAGAAGATAGATAGATCTATTTGATAACTTTTTATAACTAAACTCACATTAAAAAGGTCATAAAATCAATGTTTATATTGGAATCATATTCATGCTAAATTAATTTCTTATTGTTCGGTTTAAATCTAAAATTTATTTATTTGTTTATTTTGGTATATTTCTAGCTCCATTGAAAATTTTATGATGCTCGCTGTCATGCAAATCATGAAGTTAATACTATATCTGTTTCATGATATTTGTCACATTTGGAATTTCACATTTCTTAAGAAAATCATTAAATTTATTCATTTATAATAAATTATTGAGTAAATTGGCTGTATTACCCTTAATTTAATAATAATTCTCTAAGAAAATCATTAAATTGAAGTAATAATTATTGGTCATATATAAAGAGTAAACATGGAAATAAAGTATTTATTATTCCTTGGAACTACAAATATGACGATTATTTTGGAACAAACTATTTTCTCAAATGTAACAAGTATTATGAAATGGAGACAATATTATACAAATAAATATAATCTCGATCATACTAGCCACAAGTTATTGTCATAAAATATATTCCTTTCATACTATCCTGTAACTGTAGCTCTAGTTTTCTTTTTCACTTATTTCAAATTATAATAACAGTAATTTTTTAATGTATCAATAAATTCATTATTGCATTTAAAAAATTAAAATTTTTGATTAATTTAAAAATAATTTAGTATGAGTCATTTATTCTCGATATATATAAAAGCAGAGTAGTTTACATTATACGGAAGCCAAGTCTGAAGAAGATAATAACTATTTAGGACATTGTAAGAAGATAAGATATTTTATATTTTCTAAAAAGTTTCATAAATTATTAAAAATTCAAAATTAAAAAACCAAAATAAAAACAGTGGGACCAAAAATTAAATTTTCAAATGTAATATATACCTATATATTTTTTTTAAATTTTTAATTTTTTGACATTTCCTACTCTATTATATCTCTCTTTCTCTCCTTCACACACGATCAAAATCCAATCATTCTTGCGGGAACAACAAGTTTGAAAGAGCACCACGTTCCCAGTGCCAGATGGATGGAGAGCTTTAATAGTACTTGATTTTGCAAATAAATAATAATTAATCTTCTTGCATGTCATTTTTTGCATCCAGAGCTAAATTTAATGATGTATATCAAAATTTCAAATTTTCACGCTGCATTAAAAATTAAAAAAATCAAGTGTCTTTTCATATTAAAAAAAATAAAGGGTAAAACTACCATACAGATATTAAAATTTTGTATTAAAACAGAAACTATTTTTACCATTATATTTAAAATAGTTAAATATAAACCATTGGATTCAAAATGGCTTTAACAACTTATTATTTATATAATAGGTTATCAAAAATAGAATATTTATTTATTATTATTAAATATAAATGTTATTGTTTAATTGTGTAAATAAAACATTATTCTTTTCAAAACAATTATAAAAATTAAAAGTTTTAAAGATAAAATAATTATTTAATACATCAAATTTTATTTACCCAAAATGAATTTTTAAAAATTTTAATAAATAATTATAAATTTTTAAAAATTTTAATAAATAATTATAAATTTTTATTTATGTTATTGTTAAAACATTTATTATGTATTTATGCAATTGACACTATATTATATATACACGAATTCCCATTATCTTCTTAATAAAATAGTTTTTAATTAATAAAATTAAATTAAATAACTTAAATATATGACTTATAAAACCTCTCACTTTTATAAAATCTAATTATATAAATTGAACTATATAAATAATATCTTGTGACTTCTAATTAATTATAGTTTTTACCTTAAATTTATTTATATTTTTTTAAAATAACAGATATTACATAATCATATTATAATTAATACAAAATTTTAAATTTGTGAAAATTTTAATAAGGTATTAGAATCATTTTTAATTTTTTATAAAAATAATTATCTAAAATTATTCTTTGCTATTCTTAATAGTATTTTCTAAAATTCTATATTTTTGTTAAGACCAATTTGTTAATAGTTTATCTTTACATAAAATAATACAATTAATATTTCATATAAAATTATTGATATGTATAGGATTTATTTTTATCTTCAAAAAAAAGTTCTTCACATTTTATATAAAAAAATAATAATGAAAATTTTATGAGAGAAAAAAAATCAAAATTTTGATAAAAAAATATATAATTGGATTTAACCAGCCTTGGTTACTTGCAATAGCAGGCTAACATTGACAAATGATACAAAAAGAGAGTTCTGTATGGGTGTAGAATTGTATTGTAGAAAAATCCAAAAATAAATAGTATTTCAATTTAAACACATATCAATATTCAATTCCGCTTTCTTTATTCTTGTCCATCCCAATTCTATTATATATCAACTGGATTCCTGCATTTTGTATTTAATCTTAACCGCAATTAATTAAATATCATAAATTACCATCTGTTTATCCTTAATTAATTCATTAAGAGGTCATCAGTAGATAATGTGCAGTTACTTGGTCCCACACTCTATTGCGATGAACAAGACATTTGCTTCAAATAATGTTCTTCTACTTCTGATATTCCTAATCAATTGAAAAAAGAAAAAAAGAAAAAAACTTCTGTTATTCCTAATCAATTGAAAAAAGAAAAAAAGAAAAAAACTTCTGTTATTCCTAATCAATTGAAAAAAGAAAAAAAGAAAAAAACTTCTGTTATTCCTAATCAATTGAAAAAAGAAAAAAAGAAAAAAACTTCTGTTATTCCTAATCAATTGAAAAAAGAAAAAAAGAAAAAAACTTCTGTTATTCCTAATCAATTGAAAAAATATATTAGTTCATAAATGATATTAGATTGGTGTGTACAAGATACAATAATTTTAAAAAAAAGTATAACACACACACACTTATAATATACTAGACTAAATAAGTATAATACACTGATATTTCAAATAAATAAATAATTATTTATAATAAATCATAAACATAAAATAAAAAAATACATAATTTCTTATTTCGATATAATTAGTTAAATTCTCAAAAATTTATTTATCACTATTTAAAAATAAGTTAATAGTGTGGTTTGCTGCATTTTTTTATGCAAGTCATAACCGTACATGCTCTTGCTGTTGCATACATTGGTGGGTGTTATTAATTGGGGGTCATGACATGAAGAACCTGGTTCACTAATACGCGAAATAAAGGGTTTTAAGGTTTGAGGTATAAATGGGTTCTGTCAATGAATGAATTCACCCATTTATGACACGAATAATTATTTATAATAAATCATAAACATAAAATAAAAAAATACATAATTTCTTATTTCGATATAATTAGTTAAATTCTCAAAATTATTATCACTATTAAAAATAAGTTAATAGTGTGTGTGCATTTTTTTATGCAAGTCATACCGTACATGACTTTTGCTGTTGCATACATTGGTAGGGTGTTATAATGGGTCATGACATGAGAACCTGGTTCACCTAATACGCGAAATAAAAGGGTTAAGGTTGAGGTTAAATGGGTTCGTGTCATGAATGAATCACCCATTTATGACACGAATATAAACGTGTTGTGTCATGGGTCGACATGCGAATTAGGCGAGTGATTCGTTTATTTAAAAGTAAAAAAGTAATTTTAGCGTGAGATATAAATATCCAACTAAAACCCTATTTAAACTTTATTAATGTATTAATTTTTATTTTAGTTATAAATCTTGAATAATTTATGTATGAAAAATTATTTTTAAATATAATTTGAGTTAAATAAGTTAACATTTAACTTATTTAAGTAGGTTAAGCGGATTGTGTACAGGTAAACACGACCCACTTAACCTGCTTATATTATCAAGCGGATTATACGGGTCGTATATAGGTCAATATGACTCACTTAACCTGTTTATGATATTAGACGAGTTACACGTGTCATGTTCGTGTTTCCTTCCTAATCTTTTATGTCGTGTTCGTGTTGATCATAATATGTCACGTGTTAGGTGAAACCGTGTCAGAATCCGAAACGCTAATCCTTTTTGACACCTCTACTTTGATAAAAGGTTTGCAAGATACTTAAAAAGACACAATTTAATATTATAACTTTTTCAACATATCTTAATGAGATACAATTTTATAATATATTTCACGATCAATTTATCATATAATTTTTGTTATTTTTAAATGATGTTATAAAAGATTGTTTTATTTTTAAATATTACTCTAATTCTAACACCAGGTCATAAATCAATTAATAATTAATATGAAGTGACTTAAAAATTATAATTTAACCGTATTAACTGTAGACCTGACATGCTATTTTATCCTAACTTTGAGAACTACCCGGTTGATGCACTTTCATTCCATTATTATCACAATATTTCAAGTTTTACAAATTTTTTGAATAAAAAATAAAAAACGTGAGTCTCACAGTTGGAGCTTGGAGCTTGGTTAATCCAACCCAAAAAAAACTCGACGTTTTGACCAAAAAGAAGGAAAGGGTAATAGCTTGGTTGGTTATAAATCATACTTCTGCTTGCACCAAACACAATTACATAAAATTTACAAAATAATCACAAAATAAAAGTGATAAAGAGGAAGAAAAACAAAACAAAAGGGAAGGCTATATATATATTAGAGAAATAAAATTGAAAGACTAAAATTTAAAAAGTTTCAAGTGCCTAAAATTATATATACATATCTAATTAAAAATTATATTTTAGAAAAATATATCCAGTCAAATTATAAAAAATAAAAGAATTTTCAAAAATTTATAAAAAATAGAATAGTCAATGGAGAGAGAATTTTCAGCTTTTTCATTTGTTTTAGTTTAGATTGGACTTCATTAACCTTATTAAAAATAATTAACACTAATAAAATTTTTATAGTTTTCAAATTAATATTTTTATCATTTTTTAATTATTTAAAAATAACAAATCAATATTAATTTTTTTAAAAAATTAATTACTATTTTTATTTATATAACACGTTGAAGCAAAATCACCTTAAAAATTATATATATATATAAAATAAGAAAAAGTTTAAAACAATTTGGGCCATGCTAATCTTGGAGTCTATTTTTTGTTGATGGGTCGAACATATAGCAATTAGCGAATTTCTATTTGTATTAATGTGTTGGACATTAAAAATGCACGGCCCAAAGATAAAAAGGGTAGTACAGTCTACTTCCGCCACTGCCACAGATGGAAAATTACCTAACTCAATGACAATGAAGGACAGAATTGTCAATTGGCGTCACTCAAGTTGTGGATAGGAATGTAATTTAACTATCTACGAATACAATTACAAAACCCTAGCCCTCCCTTCCCATTGTTTATAAGATAACCCTAATACCTCAAACTGAACGTTCTCTCCAGCCTCCGCTTCTCTGTCTACAAGGATCTCCTTCAAACAACAAAAATGGTATCTCTTCGATCTCTGCCGCTGTTTCTCTTCCTGCATTTTAACTCGTAACTCTTATGTCAGCTATGTTTACTGATTGATTCTGTGTGTCTGCTGATTCTGTTACTATGGTGATTTAGGCTTCGGAGAAGAAGCTCTCAAACCCAATGAGAGAGATTAAGGTACAGAAGCTTGTACTAAATATATCCGTCGGAGAAAGCGGTGATAGGCTCACTCGTGCTGCTAAGGTATTCTTTAACCTTCTTTTTAATTTCTCTTATTTATGCTCTTTCTTTTAGCCTTCGTTACTCTGATCTGAAATATCCATCCATTGATTTTGCCTTTAGGTGCTCGAGCAACTTAGCGGTCAGACTCCTGTCTTCTCTAAGGGTATAATGCTAGGCACAGTATCTTTGTTAATTTTTTTCCACGCAGTGTCTTTGTCAATTTTGCTATATTGTGTCGTAATTTTAATATAGAATGTTGTTTGTTGATATCGGATATGGGCAGCTAGGTACACTGTTCGATCTTTTGGTATCAGGCGTAATGAAAAGATTGCTTGCTATGTGACCGTGAGGGGGGACAAAGCTATGCAGCTACTTGAAAGTGGTTTGAAAGTGAAGGAATACGAGCTGTTGAGAAGAAACTTCAGTGACACTGGTTGCTTTGGATTTGGAATCCAGGAGCACATTGATCTTGGCATCAAGTGAGTCTTGTTTGTTTGATCATGTTGGCTGTAGTTTCCATTTAATTAAATGCAAATGCTTTATCGGATACAGCAAAATCAATCTTTGGTTGAATTTGGAATTAGGAATTAGGATATATGCTTTGATGTTGTTATACCTATTGTTTAAAATGTGGTTTGACTGATGGTGTTACACTAGTTTTTATGGGTGGAACCTTTGTTGATTTACCTGCCCATTTATTTCCATTTGAATGGTAGTATGTATAGCATTTTGATTCTTTGATAGTTTGGAGTATTTATTGAAATGATTTTATTGGCCAACAATCTATGTTTAGAGTTGGCTTTTAAAAGTATGCTTATTCAAAAAGAATCATAATAATATCTTGTATTCTTATTTTCATTTTTCTATTGTTTGTGTATGGCTTTACCTTGTAGCAGTATTGTCCATTTGCACGAGACAAATGCACCTTGTAAACATTGCTAACTAACGGTGTTCCATATTCTAAGTTATTAGAGCATGCTTATTGCTACCTTGAAAGTGAAATCATTTGGTTTATTATTGTAATTCTAATTCAAATTCAATCTTGTGTGATAAGCTGATCTTGATATTTTTATTTCTTTGCAGGTATGATCCTTCAACTGGTATTTATGGTATGGATTTCTATGTTGTTTTGGAGCGTCCAGGCTATCGCGTTGGTCGTCGCAGAAGATGCAAGTCAAAGGTCGGTATTCAGCACCGGGTTACCAAGGAGGATGCAATGAAGTGGTTTCAGGTGAAATATGAAGGTGTCATCCTCAACAAGGCCCAGAATATTACATCGTAGAAAGTGTTGGTTTTTCAAGTAATATTTTGCAGAATGTCTTTTTATTTTGTTGGGAGTTATGTAACTTCTGAAGAGAATTTTGGATTTGGTAGAATCTTGTTTACTATAATTTTGGATTGGTTAGAATCTGAAATACTATTTCTGGTCATCATTCTATTTTAATTGTGCGTGCTTTACTTATATGTGAGTATATCATTGCTTTACTTACATAATTGCTAAAATTCGATTTGGCCATTCTTTACCCAAATAATTGTGGTTCGTTTTTTAATTTAGATTCTTATGGTCATGCATCGGACTTCGGAATGAATTGTGTTTGATGCATTCTAACAGAGGTGGTGATGTGGTTTATTAGGCGGGCGGTACAACCCAAAAGTTACGTGATAGCAAATGGCTAGGTTAGCGAAGTATTCCCTGTGTTAGTGGATTTTTTTTAGATGTTCAGAAATTTTTTGCATGTCTTGCAATTTAGTTTTATGTTGAATCTTTAAGAACTCGGTGGAATGGTTTCAGGGCGTTATGCTCATGGAGTCTTTCACAATTAGTTGCCATATGAGTTCTAAGGACCAACGAAAAGATCGAGTTTAAAGCTATAAATCCCAATTAAAATATATAATTGCAAAATTCTTGAATATTATGTTTAAAATCAAGAATCCAATTGCATTCGTTCGTCCGTCCTACAGCCACCGAAATTATATGGGACTGAACAAGCTACAAACAATAATTCTGAAGCTTTTATTCAAAGCTTTGAAGACCTTAGCAATTCCAAGAGTTTACCTTTCTTCAACTTGGAGTAGCCCTTCATTCCCCTAGACTTCGCCAGCTCCCTCAGCTCTGGCAGTTTCATTTCATCTATTTTTGGTGGCATCACCAACTTTTTCTCTTCTTTAGTCGCTGATGAATCACTGTTCAACTCAATAGTGTTTCCCGTTGGGATTGTTGTAGGTGGTATTGGGGACCTCCTAACAAAATTTGTCGGTGGCCTAGTTAAGTTGAAGTTTGCTGCCGAGTCTTGCACATCATTGTCTAGCGTATTTTCCTTCTTGGCAACACCTCTTTTCTGTGCCAACGCCTTATCTCCTTCACCTTTTATAGTTCCTTAAGCAACCAAAAACTCAAAATTATGCATGGCGTAAGAGACGAGAAACTGCAAGAATAAAAAGAAAAGAATTCACCAAAGAAAAAAAAATATTGCAGATGATGTTGTCTAAAGTTAATCTTTCTGGTTACCCTTAACCCCCGTGTTCTTGTACAAGTCAATAAGAGAGAAAAAGGAAAAAGCTGAAATTTTAAGCAAAAAACCTGTAAAATCATTATGTGCAAATTTTCTACAACCGGAAGAAGCATTTCCATTTAGGTTACCTTCTCTTGGCTTCTTCGATTGGTGAAGAACCTCCAGAATCGATTCAGTTGGGGACAAGCTGGCATTGCTCTGCTTAGCCAATGCCTTTGAGATTGAGGACTGTATACGTCTGAACAACGCAAGAATCTCCTCCTGTTTAGGCGATCTGTGAATTTTCCCACCAGAGAACTGAAGTTTTTTACCCACATCTTCCTTTTCTGTTCTTCCTAATGCAGAACCTTTCCGGGGAAGTCTGCTTCTTTTACGTTCATCAGACTTAGTGCTCGAAACACTTAATTGAAGCACATGGTTTTGCGAAGCAAAAGCCCAGGGACTATCTGCAATTGCAGCCAAATTTAACAAGCTGCATCAAAAAGTAAGCTCTCAGTTTGAAAGTTCACAAATTTTACATTTTCTGTCCTCAATCGAAATATTGACATCCAAAACTTCATGAGATGGAATGAATTGTAGCCCAGAAAATGGAAATTTCAGGCTTTAAAAAGGGTTTATATTGTCTTTGCATATATAAAAGCAATAGCATACAAATCTGTATCTCTAAATTAGAATCGATTATCTCACCACAAAATAAATTCGATCCATCTATATAAGGTATCATTTACAGAGTAAAACGCAGTCCCGACTAAAATTTATGGGTTTAGGTAAGGAAAGGAAATACCTTTGAAAATCTGAACGGGTCTTCCGAGCTTGAGCTGCTTGCTGAAAGAAACGAAAGATGGAAAGTTAACATACTGAGAATGGAAAACAACCGCATCCATACTTCCAGGGAAGTTTCTAAGATTCTCAATATGCAATTAGATTGGGTTTATTGATGCTCTTGTTGCATTTCTTTATTGCCGAAAATACCTAAACCACATCTTGTTTTAGCGCGTGTTATCCACGTATTGTTATTTATGTAACAATAATACTTTGATTTGCTCCATTAATTTGAGAATAATATGCTATAATTTGCCTAAGAACTAACTTTTTGTATAATTGCCATCCCAATCTAGCTTTTCTCGTTAGAACTTGTCTTTCCCGCTTTTTTCTCCATCATGTTGATTTCGACGGCCGAAACGCACTACTAAAGTTCTCTGTCTCTTCATATAATAAAAAACATGGAGAAAGAAGCTGTATCAAATCTCAAAATGCGTCACTTTTTAGTAAATCATATCCAAAGTTCACTATTTCATCATCCAATTTGCACAGTTCTCCTACCACATTATCCGTCTCTTTCTCGCTTATTAAAGAAGAAGAATACCAAATCTCTGATTGCAACAGAAAAATTTGTGAATTATGTGAAGTGGGTAACCTTGGAAAAGCCATACAATTGCTTGAAATTTCTCCAAAAATGGAAATTGAAACAAGAACTTATTGTTCAATATTGCAGCTTTGTGCTGAGCTTAAGTCTCTACAAGATGGCAAACAAGTTCATTCGATAATTTGCTCTAATGGGGTTCCAACTGATGGTGTTCTGGGAAGAAAACTTGTATTTATGTATGTAAATTGTGGGGATATAAGACAAGGGAGGCCAATTTTCGATAAGATTGCAAATGAGAAGTTTTTCTTTGGAATCTAATGTTGAGTGGGTATGCAAAGATAGATGATTTTGAGGAAAGTCTATATTTATTTCGGAAGATGTTGGCCTTGGGAATTGAAATGAACTCCCATACATTTTCCTGCATTTTGAAGTGTTTTGCAGCTCTAGGAAGTGTCAAGGAAGGTGAATGGACTCATGGGTTTTTGCTAAAATTGGGTTTTGGCTCTTATAATACTGTTGTCAATTCTCTAATAACTTTTTACTTCAAGATTAGAAAAGTTGAAAATGCACATAAGTTGTTCGACGAAGTGAGTGATCGAGATATTATTTCAAGGAACTCAATGATAAGTGGCTTTGTGGCAAACAATCTTCCTGAGAAAGGACTAATGGTTTTCAAAGAGATGCTGCATCTGGGAGTTCGCATGGATTTAGCTACAATTGTTAGCGTTCTTCCAGCCTGTGCAAATTGTGGTAATGTTCTAGTCAGGAGGGTTGTCCATGCCTCTGCAATAAAAGCAGGTTTGGGTAGAAGAATGACCTTTGCTAATACATTACTGGATATGTATTCTAAATGTAGTAACTTGGATAACGCAATTCAAGTGTTTGAGAAGATGGATGAAAAAAGTATTGTATCTTGGACTTCTCTGATTTCAGGGTATGCTCGAGAAGGTTTGTCTGAACAGGCAATTAGATTGTTCCATGAAATGGAAAGTGAAGGTGTCAGGCCAGATATTTTCACTATCACTATGGTTCTTCACGCTTGTGCTTGTGATGGATCACTGGAAATTGGCAAGGATGTGCACAATTACATCAGGAGAAATGGCCTGGAATCAAATCTTTTTGTATGTAACTCTCTCGTGGATATGTATGCAAAATGTGGAAGCATGGAAGATGCAAACTTGGTGTTTTTGAAGATGCCTGTGAAGGACATTATCTCATGGAATACCATGATCGGAGGGTATTCAAAAAATGGTGTTCCCAATGAAGCTCTTAGTCTGTTTGTTGCCATGTTACAAGAATTAAAACCTGATGGTAGAACAATGGCTTGTATTCTTCCAGCTTTTGCTAGCCTAGCTGCTTTAGATAGAGGCAAAGAGATCCATGCATACATACTGAGAAATGGTTATTTTTTTTATCAACATGTTGCTAACGCACTTATTGACATGTATGTGAAGTGTGGGTCACTAGCTCTTTCACGGTTACTCTTTGATATGATACCCATGAAGGATCTGATATCATGGACTGTGATGATCACTGGGTATGGAATGCATGGATTTGGCAAAGAAGCTATTGCTGTCTTTAATAAAATGAGATTATCAGGGAGTGAGCCCGATAAAGTTGACTTCATTTCTATGCTTTATGCTTGCAGTCATTCTGGGTTACTTGATGAAGGATGGAGATTCTTTAACATTATGCAACATTAGTGCAATATTGAGCCAAAATTGGAGCACTATGCTTGCATGGTGGATCTTCTTGCCTGCAGTGGGAAACTATCAATGGCGTACAAATTCATAAAATCAATGTCAATTGAACCTGATGCTACAATATGGGGTGCTTTGCTCTGTGGGTGCAGGATTCACCATAATGTCAAATTAGCAGAGAAGGTAGCAGAACGTGTCTTTGAACTAGAACCAGAGAACACAGGATACTATGTACTTTTAGCAAATATCTATGCTGAGGCTGAAAAGTGGGAAGAAGTGAAAAGTATAAGAGAGAAGATTGGTAGTCGGGGTTTAAAGAAAAATCCTGGCTGCAGTTGGATAGAGGTCAAGGGGAAAGTTCATAGGAAAGTTCATATATTTGTTGCTGGAGATGGTTCACATCCACAAGCCCAAAAGATTGAGTCTCTGTTGAATAGGTTTAGATCAAAGATGAAGGAAGAGAATTACTTCCCAAAAATGAGATATGCTATGATTAATGCAAATGACCTCGAGAAGGAAATGGCCCTCTGTGGGCACAGTGAAAAGTTGGCTATGGCTTTTAGAATATTGAGCTTGCCACCTGGCAAAACAATACGAGTAACCAAAAATTTAAGGGTCTGCAGTGACTGTCATGACATGGCGAAGTTTATGTCCAAGTCAGCGAGAAGGGAGATCATAATGAGAGATTCTAATCGCTTTCATCATTTTAAAGATGGCACTTGTTCTTGCAGAGGTTTCTGGTAAATCACTGGAGAGGAGTTTGAATATACCAGAGCTCACCAAAGCCACTTAAAGGTCGACTCTTCTTTTTAACCAGTAAGTAAATTTTGTAAATAATGATTAGGAGTTAGGACGGCATTTCTCAGACAATTTAAGTTTAGGTCTCTCTGAATACTGGGTCATGGTAAATTCTAGTTCACACTTCGTATTGCAAGTTATTAAGAAACTGAAAGCCATTCCTTTTCATTACATTTGCAACATAAAAGAGATAGTGAATGATGGAGATAAGTGTAATAATAGAAATTGCATTTTTATATTGTGTTTCATGGCTTTCTGATCATATATGAGAAGGTTCTAGTAGTACAGGTCTTAAACTTTGGTAGTAGAGGTTTGATACAGTAAGTTTTGCTTTACTATCATAGCAATCTTTTTCTTTCCTACCTTTTTTTTTGGGTTATCGCCCTCTTCTGATCTATTCCTCAACTATTTATTATTCTTGACAGGGTATCGAGGAAAGGGAACTCTCTTCCAAGTGGGAACTGGTTTTCATGGGAAAGCTGAAATGGTCAGAAATAGAGGTTAGTTTTACACTCTTTTCAAGATAACATATGGCAATAAGTCCATGTGACTGTGAGGCAATATAAAAAATATTGCCGAAGGCTTGAAGCTGTAAATGAGAATTGGAAATGTGTATATTGTGGAAAAAAAATGACCATTTTCTTTTACCTTCTCTTTATAAGAATTTGAAATGAAAATTAACCTGTTGGAGATAACCAATGAAGTTTGGCTTGGCCTACCCTGTTAGCCAGCGCTTCAAATGTTTCTGACCAGTTCACAACCTTTATTGGCTTTCAAATGGATGCTAAAAAGTATGCCGTGTCAATTTATTGACATTTATGTTTCCCCATCTTCGTTTGAGGGGCTTGATCCATGGCTATATCTTTGTACTTTCTCATTTTTCTCTAGTGTTTTAGCACATGGAAGTAATAAGACTCGTAGGATTACTCTTGGGCGGTGCCCCTAATTTTATTGTTGATTCTGTACCTCTATTACTAATGCAAGGAACTTTTTATTTATTTAAAAAGAAAAGGCTCAAAATGGATATCATATGTCCATGACTGATTTAACAAGGGAAAGAATCGTGACATGTTAATCAGAAATCACATTTAAAGGTAAAATGTGCAAGTGAAGAATGGTAAGCAGGTAATATAGTAACATTCCCTTATCTTTCATTATATGCTTTTTCCTCTGTAATCACAAGTATCCCTTTCTCACTCAGAAGTTTTAATTTTTAGGATGGGCTACTCTTTGATCTGTGGGGAGTATGATTGCTATGGTAGGGAATAAATCTAACAAGGGGCTTGGAGAAAGGAAGGTGGCAATCATTATTGTCACTCTGCCTAAAAATAAAATTTAGGCCTCTTTTTCTTTTATGATTATGGTTTCAATAGCAAAAAATACAGTGTATAATTTTTCTAGTTCTTTCTACTTGATCTTTTTGTAGTTGTGGTATTAGCCAGTGTTTTTAAAATGGTCATTTACCAGTTAAACTAAAAACCAATTCAATGACTAGTTGGATTCAGTCCAATTTGGTGTTTCAGTATATTTTGTTCGCATTAAAATGCACTTATATACTCTTAATGATCTTTGACTGGTTTTGCCAACTTGAATGTTTCTTTTGCCCACTAAACGTTCATTGGACTGTTTGCTTTTTGTCCAAATTTTTTTTTTTCTCCTATGCTTTTAAATATTTTTCTTTATGCTGAAAGCACATGTTAAATATTTTTATACAGGGATACTGACAAATGTCCATTACCTGGTGTGGAGTTCTGTGTGAAATTTTCAAATGCAGAAATTGGCCAAGGATTCTATTGACTGAAGGTACAGTTTAAGATGATTATATCAATTCAGTAGCTTTACTGAGCCTGAGGCAGCACTATGGAAAGAGTTTGGCTTCAAGTTGAAAATGGATCCCGGGTGTGTACCTTGACAAGAATAGAAGCTGGAAATGGATTTCCAATTACAGTCATTGGAAGCTTAAAAGTTCAGGGATCTTGGAGAAAGCCATACGTACACCTGCTTCATACCAAATTATGTAGATGATGGCTTATGATTGACCAGTCATTATTACAAATAAAAATAATGCTCAGAGACATTTCTGCAGCGGGAAATGAAATTCATCCACATGGGGTGGTCCTCTTACTTAACAATATGGAAACTCTTACCATACCTGTACACAGCTAATATGGAATTGGTAGACAAATTATATCTACCATTAAAATTTGTACCAAATGGTGGCTGGTTTTGTCATTTATGATTGAATCTTCTTTTCATCAATTTTCATCAGCTATCACCAACAAAAAGTAATTTTTGATTAAGGGATACTGAAATGGAAAATTTCAGATTGGCCATCAGTATCAGCTGAAACAAAAGGCAGTTCTGTTGAATGTGAGGATAGAGGAATATTTAGCCACAACTAGCAAGACAGAGATGGGAAAGCCAAAGCTGGAGTTTAGGTTGGAAGATATTGGCAGGCCAAAGGCCGGAAGCAAGCCAATGGGCAAAGTCATTCTATTATAGCTTATATACTAGTGTATCCAATACTTCTGGAGTGGATTTGAACATTTTTGAAGAAAAATTTTCAAGCAGAAAAGTATAAAACTTCCAACATGATATCAAACTTCAAGCAACATATACTAGTGTATCCAATACTTCTGGAGTGGATTTGAACATTTTTGAAGAAAAATTTTCAAGCAGAAAAGTATAAAACTTCCAACATGATATCAAACTTCAAGCAACATATACTAGTGTATCCAATACTTCTGGAGTGGATTTGAACATTTTTGAAGAAAAATTTTCAAGCAGAAAAGTATAAAACTTCCAACATGATATCAAACTTCAAGCAACATATACTAGTGTATCCAATACTTCTGGAGTGGATTTGAACATTTTTGAAGAAAAATTTTCAAGCAGAAAAGTATAAAACTTCCAACATGATATCAAACTTCAAGCAACATATACTAGTGTATCCAATACTTCTGGAGTGGATTTGAACATTTTTGAAGAAAAATTTTCAAGCAGAAAAGTATAAAACTTCCAACATGATATCAAACTTCAAGCAACATATACTAGTGTATCCAATACTTCTGGAGTGGATTTGAACATTTTTGAAGAAAAATTTTCAAGCAGAAAAGTATAAAACTTCCAACATGATATCAAACTTCAAGCAACATATACTAGTGTATCCAATACTTCTGGAGTGGATTTGAACATTTTTGAAGAAAAATTTTCAAGCAGAAAAGTATAAAACTTCCAACATGATATCAAACTTCAAGCAACATATACTAGTGTATCCAATACTTCTGGAGTTAATTTAACACAAGCTCTAAGAAAATGACAGACTTGAAATAGCAAGTGTCATTATAATCTTTGTGGCTCAAGAAAAGTACATAATTCATGATATAGCATCATCAATATCAACCTGCTTTCCCCTCTGTATTCAATAATTAACCACAAAACGGTCGAATGCGCGAGGAAAATAAAAGCAAACACTGTTTTCTCAATCCAATTTATCAAAGCAGAAAAAAAAAAATCGAAGGCATGACAAGATAATAAGACAATGTTTCCTTCTCTCTCTTTTCTCTTTCTTCTTTCCCCTTTCTACTCTACAACTACCCTCTTCCATAATCTCAAGTGTATAATAAATCAAATAATAAAATGATCACTGGTAACCAAATTTCCCCTAATCTAAACTATTAATGAAGACACATTACCTTCTCATTATTAACCACACCTTTTTGAAAGAAGAATAAGGAAGATAATGAGGAAGATTATAGAAGAAAGCCCAATTGCTACACCAAGAACAACCTTATTAGGTCCATGATGGTGATCTCCTTTGTTGCTAGAACTGTCATCTTCACTATCATCATAATCTGATGAATCGCTCTCACTATCTCCTCCTGATGATGAATCTTTAGCAGGTGGTGGTGACATTGGCAATCCATGCTTATCACAAGGGGCAATACCAAGCTTCAATTTTGATGACAAAATTGTATGATTATAACACAAATTGCTATTTCCACCAATTTTGAACACATCCAATCTCTTCAAAAATGTAAGATTAAAAGGCAAAACACCATGGAACTCATTGTTTGCAAGATTCAAGTGCTTCAAATGCTTCATTTCTGCAAAAAATCTTGGTATTGTCCCATTGAACTGGTTTGAACTTAGATCAACATGAACCAAACCTGGGATTGCTGACATCGAATCTGGGATTGATCCAGATAATGAATTAGACCCCAAAGATACATTCTTTAATGAAATCAAGTCACCAATGTTAGTGGGTATTTCACCAGTAAGAGCATTAGAGGAAAGATTGAGACTTTCAAGATTTTCAAGAACTGAAATTGAACTGGGTATTCTTCCTTTGAGCTTATTACCCGAAAAATCCACAAGGGTAAGATTAAATTGCAGGTGTTTAGGTATATAACCAGTGACATTAGCATTTGAGATAGTAACAGACGTGAGCTTATGCATATTACCAAGAACTACAAAAAGACCACTAGCATTGATAGGCACATTGCTTACAGTGAGATCGGTGAGATTAACAAAATGAGAGAGCCAGACACCAGTAAGGCGTTTAAGAGAGTGAATACAAGTAAACGAGTGGAGAGAAAGGGCAAGATCTGAAGGGAAGCGAATAGGAGTAATAGGACAGTTAGTAAAAGTCAGAGATTGGAGAGTGGAGAGAGATTTTAAGGCAGTGTAGGAGAAAGAAACATCAGATGAGCAGTTAGAGAGATGGAGAGAAACAAGGTGACGGAAAGGGGAAGAAGAGTCACAAATGGTGGAGTTATGAGGGGAAGGCTGTATGCAAGGGTCTCTTGAAGTGGGTATGTCAAGAGATTGAAGTGCTCTGATTTGTTTTGGGTCTAATGTGGAGTGTGTAGAAGGAGTAGTGGAACGCGGAGTGGGAGAGGGGATAGGGGAGGGAGTAGGTGAGACAATTGTAGTGGTGGTGGTGGTAGTGGCAGTGGTGTTGGTGGTTTTAGCGGTGGTGGAGAGGAGGAGGAAAAAAAAAGAGAGGAAAAATGGAGGCTTTGGTGGCGGTGTTCGTGAAGACATTGTGAAGAGAAAGAAGCTCAAGCTTAGGGGAGGGTGAATGTTGTTTGCAAGTGAGCTTGAGAAATGAGGAGTGAAGTGAAGTGGACAAGATTAATTGGCCAGGTTGGATTGTTGGAGTCCTTTCATGCCCTTGTATTTCCTACTCATTTGCATAAATTCGAAAAGAAAATAAATCATTTTTTTTTATTATTATTATCATAGAAGTGACAAATGTTCACGTGCCATTCACCAACATAGATTTTCCTCACAAAATCTTTATATGGATGCCAGGACAAATAACTGGATGGGCATGGGCTAAAATGGTAAATAGAAATCACAAGGGTATGATGGTCATTAAAGATTAAAAGGAGAATATTTGTGTCAAATTTTCTGTTAATTGCGAAGGTAAAAACAATCAAAGGTTTTTTATCATTCACACATGGTTCTTATTTTATCTTTTAAGTTCAAAAATGTTTAGAGCGAAAGGTTTTGATTCGAGTTTTTTTTTTTTTTTTTTTTTTTTTATCACTAATTCGGGAATCTTAACCAAGAAAATAAACTAATCTTACTATATATTACATAATAATACTTCCAGATCAGTCAGTTCCCAAAGTAGCTGTCCCATCACAAGGGCATGAAAATCCAATATTTTTCGGACTAGGGTTGGGTGCTTTTCCTTTTTTTTTTTTTTTTTTTTTTCTAATTATCACTAATTCGGGAAATCTTAACCAAAGAAAATAACTAATCTTACTATATATTACATAATAATATTCCAGATCAGTCAGTTCCAAAGTAGCTGTCCATCACAAGGCATGAAAATCCAATATTTTTCGACTAGGGTTGGGTGCTTTCCAGCTCTTTCCTCCTCTTCTTTTATTTGTTACTTTCTTGGAAAGACCCACTATATATGTGCTAAGCTGTCTTGTATAAAATCTTGATTTACTCTTAGACGAAACTTTCTCAGTATATATAAATAGATTCCATTAATTGTTTCGAGAGGCCTAAACGCCATTAACGGTTAATAAATGATCATTGTACGTACATAACTTTCACAGCAAGCATGTGCTTTTTTCTTGATTTTAGCAGTTAGTGAGAAATAAGATTTTCTAATTTTGTTTTCCTCGTTCCTACGTTTCTCTTAGCATTTATTGCCGCAAAGGAAAAGAAAACAAAAATTAAAAAAAGTACAGATTAACTTTCCAACTGCAAAGAAATCAAACCATTCGATCCTCAAAAAGAGACAAAGATGATTGGTAGGTGCTCTTTTCTTTAGGTATAATTTATTCAGAATGTTATGCTTAAAGTATTATAGAAAAATTGAAGTCTGAAAATTTTTTCAGACAAGATGAATCCATTCAAAGTCATTAAGTTTTCTCTCAACAAGGTCAAGACTTTACTGTGTGTCTGAACTCTGAAGTGGCAATTTATAACCCCAGTCGCAGAGGCGAACAGACGGTAAAATAGAATGTGAGTGACCGTTGGTGACCAAAGTCTTGGTAAGCAGCGGAGCAGCCACACCTTTGTCAGATACCAAGAAAGACAGTGATGTCTTAACCAAACAGAATTATTGAGTATAACCTAGGCTTCCCATGTTGGACCCACTAAATAATTTCAAGAAATTCCTCTGAAGTAGATCCAATTTTTTTATCTTGAATAGTGAAATTAATCCAACTTGACAGGAAGAATATAAAAAATGAAAAATAATTTGAACTCATTCTTCCAATACCTGGAAATTGGGAAGTAGTTAACATTTTTTTTTTTTTTCCCTTTTTTGACATTAGTCTTATAACACAGCCAAAAAGAAGAATACAAACTGATCAAAACTTAGTAGAAAATCATATTGCAGTAGAGAAGTAACTGCAATTCCCAATTTCTTGAGAGCAGGTATACATATTCACAGTCATATCCCAGAATTTTTTGTTGAGAAATCAGCAATCTATGGAAATGCAGTTTTGAGCGAGGGCTGAGGCATCAACATTGCTAACAAACGGATTAATTTTGACCCAAACAAGAGAGAAGACAGAGGCCAACAGAACTGACCAAAGAACAACAATGGTTGGTGTTCTGTTCTGTCGGCCCATTAGACCCTTGAGGAATGGATAGAGATGGAGAATCACCCAAAAGGCAAAGAACACCTTGCCAAAGAGGGGTCCCCATGCTTCATATCCTTTGTTCAATGCATCAGAGAATCCAGCAACAACACCAACTAAATTGATAATGATAAGAGAAGTTGGAGGGATCAAAAGTGTTGTCCACTTGATCATGTAGAGCTCACCAAATTCTGCATCTTCTGCTGCTTTTGCAGTGACAGTGAAGTTGGTATCAATTCCAGCCAACATTTTCAACATTCCTTGGAAGACGGCAAATAAATGGGCTGAAACACCTCCAATCACCCAAAACTGCTCGTTACGCCACAAATCTTCTATGCCAACACCACTCCACCTTAGCTCTAGTACTGCTGTTACAATAATGGACATGAAGAGGCCAAGAAATAGCGTGCTTGCTAGGTTTGATAGCTGGATCAGTAACAAGGTATAATAGTCAGCTAGTTATCGCAGTGAGTAGATGAATTCTGAAACCCAAATGCAAGAGGATAATTTGGTTTCTTATAAACAGAAGATTATTGCCTAAGATTTTAGAGATTTACCGTTGGTATGATGAATTTCCCTGTGAGAAGACAGATTGCGGGCAGTGTACAGTAGGCAATGAGAGGAAGTGATGTAAAAGGATAAACAATGGTATTAATGTATGCCAGCCTTTGAAGCCATTTAAGACGGCCTCCTCCATAACCATACCAGAGGGGACAGTGTCTGCTCAAGAAAATTTCTACAGACCCAAGGGCCCATCGGAGAACCTGGTGCAATCGATCAGAAAGATTGATGGGTGCAGACCCTTTGAATGCAGGTCTTAGAGGCATGCAGTAGATTGATCTCCACCCTCGGCAGTGCATCTTGAAGCCAGTTAAGATATCCTCAGTGACTGATCCATATATCCAACCAATCTGAGAAGAAACATATAAAGCTTGATAGAGTAAGAGAAATGCAAAATAGGACAAAACTAAAACCCAACAGCTTCATGAATGTTGATGTAATTGAACAACTGGACAAGTAATACAGAGTTACTGAGGCAACCAAGTGAAAGTTATGAACATTAATCTTGGGATGAATGGTTAGTTATACAGTTTATAGAAGTTGAATATTAACACTTTAAACCTGAGGTTATAGAAGCAGGAAATGAATATCTGTTCAAAGAAATTGGCAATGTAATTGAATTTCAAAAATGGCATCAAAATATCATATGAAGTAACACTAGAAGCTTCACCTCTTTTCCCCATTCAGTCTTCTCTTCATAGCTGCAGCTAATAACGTGAATAGCTTCCTTGATGAGGGTTGATGGGTTGACAGAGTCAGGTACTCCTCCATTCTCCATTAGTGTTGACTCAATGAAGACAGATGATAAGCCAAAAGTTTTCTCAAAGCTCAACTGGGAGATCAACATTGACCTTTCATGCTCATCATAATCTGCAGAATTTTAAACCCAAACACGCTTAGCTGTTGAAGAACTCTGTTAATTAATCACCTAAGTCCAACTGTTATCAAAAGCAAAACTTACTGTCAATCTCTGTAAGATTGAAGATGGCAGCATTCAGATCCTCTCGTTTTGCATCTCTATAAACCTCAGCCAGATCCTTTGTAGGTTTCTTCTTTGACGGGCAGCAACAAGAGCAGCATCCGCACCATGAGCAGGATGAGGAATTCTTAGGTAAGCTGGGCATAGAAGGAGGCCCATAACCATAGAGTGCTTGCCTATTGAAAACACAACCTGTTCCCACATATACTGGTCCTTGGATGCCATCAAGACCTTTCATGTTAACCTGAAAATATGATTGAAATGAAAGTCCGAACTCAAAGATCTCATAATTCATTCAAGTGCAGGGACCAATACTACTAACGCTGTTATTGAAGTGTTGAAGTGTTGCCTAGCTATTTCTTCACATTTCTAAACTTACTTATTTGGAAATCCAAACTTTAGTGACAACTTCAGTTTGAAAGTGGTGCATCCATCTGAACTTTAATTTGACTAGAACCCAAATGAGTATCAATATCCTGATTTGTCATTTAGGAACTAGTTCTCGAAAAATAAATATATATGTTCGTTTGAGAAGAAGAACTTAAAATATGTGTTATCCATACACTGTACTACTATGTTTATTGAGTCTCAGTAGAACTTAAAATAATTGCGCATAAGAAGCTAGACCTCTTTATGTTGAATAACCAAGTGTTAAATAGATGGAGAGATTAAGCTGGATTAATCTTACGTCAAAGAAAACCACATTTCTATTGGCATATCGATCGCTCTTATCTATGCCATCAAATCTCTGAGGAAACTGCACAAAGCATACATCTCGACCAACTTGTGGGTCCATCAGGATGCACATTGCCTCTCTAACTGCCTTGCTATTGTTTACATAGTGATCACAATCAACATTTAGGATGTAGGGAGCATTTGTGAGAACTGCAGACACTCTCACCTGGATGAAGCATTCACTGGAGAATTAATACACTATCGAACTCTATCAAATTAATGATATTGAAACCATTTATACGCACCAAAGCATTTTCAGCACCGGCCTTTTTGTGATGCTGGTAGCCAGGTCTCTTCTCTCTAGAGACATAAACAAGGCGAGGAAGTTCATTTCCATCTATATCACGAGCTCCGGTGTTTCCAAGGAAAACCTGTAAAGTGCCTTAATGATGAGATTGAATTTTCAAAAAAAATATAAAGTGCTTTCTCTAGTAAATATCTATAAATATATTGGATTAGTTTTTCCAAACTTAAAGCTCTCAAAGATTCTGGATTACAAAAATAATTTCAACGGATCACCTAAAGTTGTCTTTCATTATTTCCAAGAACACTGATTGGATCTCATTTTTGGAGAGGGGGACAGGGGAATGGGGAACTAGCGTCATTTTAGATACCAGATGTTTTGGAGAATGGGTCGACTGTGTAGGTTAATTTCCAAATTTATCTGAAAGTTTAAACCACAAAATTTTTATATATTTCAATGTAACTCAAAAGAAACTGAACAAAAGTTTGTCAAAACTATTTGTAGGCCCTCAACCT